AACCCAGGGGTCCATTGAATTCAAACTCCTGACATTGTGCATATTTGAATAAGTTTGTATTGGTGTAATAGATGGCACCCATATAAGTGCATGGGTTCCACTAGAAGAGAAAATACCATATAGGGGAAGAAAGTTACAATACACCACATATGTATTAGTAGTGTGTTCATTTGATATTGCTAATCGCTTAGTTCTAGAATGACATGAAGTTGGATACGAGTAGATGTTGGCCGAAAACATCTCTCATTCACTTGGACATCATGTTTGACTATACACTAAACATTACCGTGATATTATAATATTATGCATTGTTATCCCTAATTATATACATGATTTATAATCAATATTTGGTGTTAATGTTATACTATTAAATTAATATTAGGGATGGTTGGTCATGTGCGTACACCAATGTGTTCATGTGGCAAAGGGTCGATGGAATTTGTTATGACAAGAACAAATGCCAATTATGAACAATGATTTTTTTGCTACCGAAAATGAGATAACCATGTTAATTCCTCTTTTTGGGTAGATGAATTTAACGAAAATGATGCCATGTGTAGATTATGTTTTTAATGAAAACGATGCCAATTGGATGCCATGTGTAGATTATACACTTCGTCACCAATATGTGGACCATCATGAAACCAAGAGGCATATTCATTTATGCAAAGAAGATATTGCCATATTGTTCTACGTCACTCTCCTACTATGTTTAAATCCTAGTAGTGAACTTGTGATACCATTTTAGAGATGTTAGTAAAAGCATACTTAATATAGATTATTGATGGTGAAACAAAATTTTAGATTTTAAACTTGGAAGAAACTATTCGTATTTAACTTGTAAACCTACATGTATCTTATTATATCGATTGTTGGCTATATGTTGTTAATTGGCAACTGAGCAATGTTTGATCGTAGTTATCTTTAATATTTTAAATCATAGTTAATTAATTTTATTTTATTATTAGTTATTATTGACGATGGGTGATTTGGTCCTCTAGTGATATCATGACACTTGACACTATAGAACCGTCAATTGGCATCTCGGTACCATGCAAGCAGACCTTGGACACCTCGCACCTGTCTCAACCTCCTCAACCCCACCTTGATAGGATGACCTACGAACAACCTAGGAGATGTTATGTCAATGTGAAGAGGCACTCTGCCTCCGTCGACCTAGCCTAGATCTAGTTATCAACCTGCCCAATGTAACGGGCAACTTCCTTCTTGAGCAGGTTACCGTCTTTGAATCCCTTGGGATCATGATGACATGATGACGGAGCCAACCTTGCTCCCTCCCGCTTCTAATGAGACTAGATAAGCATTATCAGCTTACGAGGAATCCGTCTCTAGGAGTGGAACTACCTTCGAATTAGATGGGATAGTGATCTCGGACATGCTTCATGGAGCTCACGGTAATTAGCCTATATAAAGGCGTCATCTTCCTTAGAGAAGGTACGTGCGATTTAGCTCTCAAATTCTACTAACTTTCTCACTTCCTAAGCTATTAATCAATTCACTAACTTAAGCATCAAAGTGCCCACCCTGGGTATAGCAACATGGATACTCTGACACTATTCTTTGCAACTCAACCAGGCAACCTCATCAACCCGGTGTTTGAGTTGTTTGCCAATAGGGAGCTACTACATCGCGCAACATCAATTATTGTATTAGTCCTTTTATGTATTTGTTTTATATTTTTATATTATTTTTTAAATTTATTTTTAGTATTATTAATTTTTAATTACTATTTTATTAATAATAATATTAATGTTTCAATTTTCAAATTTTTATATTTTATATTTTTTAATTATATTACTTTATCACATATTAAATTTATTCAAATGATTGATTTGCGTTTTGCTTAAAAACGCCAAGAAAATAGTATTCTTGATTGACGATGTAGATTACCTACATTGTGTATATGAGATACACAAAATCAAAATACATGGTGTGGCCTGAACTACAGATTGCAAAACACTTATGTAAGTGTGGTGTTATTCAGGCTACCAATTTTTTATCACAACATAGAATGCTTATTCTACTATGGTATGGTGTGGTTAAGAACACACCACCCAATTTCTCAACCACACTCCAAAACAAACCCTTAATCTCTTAAGAATCATTGTATATATTTTGCAAATAATTATTTCAAAATCATATTATAAAATCCTACAACAAGGACTAATTATTTCAACATAAGCAATTAGTTCTTTTAAAATCATATTATAAAACACATGATAAAACTAATTCTTTCAATATATAAAACTAATTCTTTCAAATAAAAAAATCAAAAAATATGACAATCAAACTATTTTTTTAAACAAGTTTCAAAGTCCCATGACAAAATAAGACAAACAACTATCTTTTTAAAACCCGGGTTGCAAAATCATGTGATAAAAGTTAAAGATTAAATGCATATAGATTATAATCATTTCAGATTTGCACTTCACATTTAATTAAAAAATAAGTAAGTAGCCACATTATGTTCTCATCCTTAGCTTAGAACAAATCAGATTGCTAAGGAAACAAAACAACCTTTCTATGAGATCATAAACTTCATCCTACTACATGGACATGATAGAATATTGAGAAAATAAATAATCTATTTGTCATTTTCAATTCTTATTTCAATGGTTAACTCAATTCAATTCACACTCCCTAACTTTCACTTATTTAAGAGACAATCTGAGGTGACATTATGGTGTACACTAAATGGCAACCAATGAAGATAGGAAGAGAAATTTTATTCAAGTATTTGATTTAACCATGTAATGATCTCTTTAAATGATCAGCTTTTGTATCATAATCATCAAGTGAATGACATTTGTAAGCATACAAAAAACTAGTCATCCAATGAAAGCAAATGCCATATCATGATAATTAGTACCATGCAATAAAATTGATGTTTAATGTTCTCCTTTTGGACAAAATAAAATAGAAATTTAAAAGGGAAACTGGAGAAATAGACTAACATTGTAGAAGCTACAATTACAAATGTGATTCAAATTTAATTGCCACCTGGCACTTGATTTGCATAAATTCCATTTATTAGTTAAAATTACAACATGTAACCCAAAACCCCAAGCATACAATGAAACTAAATCAAAGAAACAAAAACCTAAGTCTGAATTTTAAATTACAAATCCAATAGTAATAAAGATCATAAATAAACAACAAAACTAATAACAAAGTCATAATATTAACAAAACTAAAAAAAAAAAAAACATCTTAACATACATCAAATTCTGGTCATCATGAACCATAAATGCTAATTATCATTTGATTTAACCTAAAGGAGGAGAGATTGAGAGAGTAACTGATGGGGGCTGACCTACCTATAAACCCCGAAACAACATTTGATTAAACCTACAACAAACAAATTTTACAAAAATTAATAAACTATTAGAAAGTAATGGAGAGAAGAAAAAAGATTAATACCAAAAACCTAGTATTTTTCAAGCAAAACTTTGCAAAAATAGGTAAAAAAACACAAAGAGAGGTATACAATTCCATTTGAATTCATTTAATTGGGAACAAGGAGACATTATTATGAGGGCTTCATTTTTTTCTTTGCTAGTGGCAAAAATGGAAGAGCAAGAGGTATAATGGCACTGTGGGTTACAACAGAGTAGTCCAGATTAGTTGAACAAGATAATTGTTCAATTGGCTATGGAACAAATCATAATATCCCACACTAGTAATAAATTCATTGGCTCCACTATAAAAGGTGTTTTATTACTGGTGCAGAACATTATCATTGGTTCCACAACCTGCTAAACAGCCATTTCTCGCAACCGAGCACTAAGAGAGAAAAAGGTTGAAAAGTAGCAAGCTAGTGATTTCTTGATGCAAAACTAAACAATGTATTTTGCTTTATAAAAGTCAGGCTTGTGAGAATTAATTCAAGCCAAATATTTTATTAGTCAATTAGAATTGAACTCAAATCAAGTTAAATTAAAGCTCAATTTGATTACGTCCCAATCATATAATTGGGGAGTTTTTTGGAGTTTACTTTGGTTTTTATCAAAAGGTTGTTTATAACTATAATATTAGGATAATTATAATTGAATCTCTTCACAAAAAACTTCAATGTATGATGTGTACGTTCATGAAAGAACTTTGGCTGTCCACGTTCTGGTGCTTTTCACAAGTTGCCATTGCAATATGTCAAAGGCTTTTGAATTCATGGTTTTGGCACGCGTTAATCTTGTTGCAGCAAAAGTGGATAGTCTCTTATAATTCATTTCATGGTTTTCAAAATCGGACTGGACCGGACGGTAGGACCGGAAAAATCGGGAACTGGTCAGGTTTTATTTTACCCCCAGAATTATTATTTTGCCAAAAATCGTTAAATTGTTGACTTGGGCGGTTGAACTGTTTGAACTGTCCAATAGTTTTGATCATTTTTTATTTTTTTTTGTCAGAACAGGCCATTTATTTGATTTGAATGGTTGAACTGTTTGACCCGGGAACTAAACCCTTGACCGGTTCATTATCTGATTCAGTTTTAAAAACATTGATTGATTCACGTAAAACTTAAGTGGTGTTTGGTATTGAAGCAGTTGTTCAAGTTTGTTTAAACAATCAGGAGAAAAGCTAAATTTGACATAAATTCCCAAGTTTTATTGTTTATTTCTGTTTATTCCCGTCTCAAAACACATAAACATTATTAAATCAATAAATTCTACGTAAGAAAGCTGCTTTTCGTAACAAGAAACTTGAAAAAACGATTTTCAAAAAATGTGAATTACAACCAATTTGCTCCAATACCAAACACCTTCTTGAGTATGCACTATTAACGTGTCACGCAGGTAGAGCTCTGTGGACAGGCACGGGCTTTTCGAACGTTTGATTTAATACAAGCCTCTGGGCCTAGGCCAGGCATAAGAAGCCAGCGCAAGCCCAACCAACCGAAACTTGGGTTGGATTGGGTTTGGCCAGCTGGGTTCTTCCTGTTCAATTCGGCCCAAATCCATGTTTCATAATCGCACCATTTTTTAATTCGTTTCAAGATTCTTCTCTTCTCTCGCCGCTCGCTTCAGCAACAAGAAAAGTCGTAAATTTTTTCCTTCGTTTCCTTCTCAGTCCCGGAAATCCTTTCCTCTGCAAATTGAACATTTTTATTGGAGTTTATGCTAATTTCTCTTCCACAATTCGATCTATGCAGAGAGTTTTCTGATGAGGGTTTCTTCCACGCAAATGTCCGCTTAGTCACAGCCGTGAATTTAGGGTTTTTGATCCACTTCACACTCAGAACAGACCTGAAGTGCAATCCCTGTGAATCGGTTATATTCATCGAGGAGAATTTAGAGTCCTAGTACTGTACATATTTCAAATTCTATTCCGAGTTTCTGTATCCTTTCAATTGAAATTGGTTTGAAGTTAAGAGTACGGGAGAGGAACAGTTGAGATTGTGATACTGGAGAGAAGTAATAGGAGGAAGAGATTGGTGTTCTATTCAAATGGTAAATAATCAAGATTCGGGTGGTTGCTGTATTGATCTCTCTCAGTTCGGAGCGGGTCGAGGTGGTGATGACATAGACATGGAGGACGAAGAGGAGGTTCCCAGGTATCTGAATACTATAAATAGTTCCGGTGGGTTTCTGATGGTGTCTACGGATAAGCTCTCTGTTCAGTATACCAATGTTAATTTGCACGGGCACGACGTCGGTGTGGTACAGGCGAATTGCCCGGCACCAGTGAGAAGGGTTGTTTATTATTTCGAGATTTTTGTAAAGAATGCTGGGGCGAAGGGACAGATTGCAATTGGTTTTACCACTGAGCAATTTAAGATGCGAAGACAACCCGGGTGAGCATTTCACTCGTCTCTTGAAGTTTCTATATATTTTTCTTTGCCTTTTTTTTTGTGTTTAATGTCATGATCCTCAAATAAGAATTTTCTCTATTTCTATGATGTAATTAATAGGTCTACTGATATTTTTTTAGAGAAGTTGCTTACTTGACATATTTGTTGAAAGTTGAGAAAAGAAGTTGACAGTTAAGACAAAAAATGATTAAACATGTTGCAGCTCCTAGCGGAGATAAGATGGTTTGTGTATAATTATATATTATTGTTATTATTATTATTATTACTACTATTATTATTGTTTCTTTTTTCTTTGCATGCTTTACATATATTATTATTATTATTATTATTATTATTATTATTATTATCCATAGTAACCAACCATCAAGTAGAATGTCCCCCCTTGATCTATATGTCCCCAATACATTGTGTTTCTTGTAACCCCCTGTTTTTTCAACCCATCTGCTTTTCATTTCTGCTCCAGTTAAGTCCTCCTATACGAATAGGACCAGAGTAGAGAAGCAATATATTCCCCAAATGATTTCTGATCACTCCTACACCTGATGGACTTGGATTGCCCAAGCAGCTATCATCAATGTTCAATTTAAAAATTAAATGTCTGTAGTGTTCACCAGTTCACTTGTACTATTGGCTTACTTGGGGCAGATTCAACAACCTCTTTCCAATTTCTTATAATATCATCAGTTGTATAAGAGTCAAATAACTCTAATGTTTGTCCCAATGTGCCGCTTGATGGAGATATTGTCAATGGTTAACTTTTTTTTGAAGAGTAAAGGAAAACTTTCATTAAAATAAAATAAAGAAACATTACAGACCGATTGGTTGTCAAGATGACACACCAAAACATCTAATACAACTAATCAAACTGAAAATGAATCCCCATTACAAGGTTGCAAATCAAGAACATTCCAGAAGTTCTCTAGCAAATCAGATATATTAATTGGTCGAAATCTGGAAGGACCAAAACCCATTCTATTACAAGTTTACCCACTGCTTCTACAATTAATTCAATGCTCTTCAATTTATTCTCAAATAATCTTCTCTTCTTCTCATTCCTCTCAAATGGGTCATGATGTCAGTTAAATAATGAAAGTTTTAATATAGAAAAAAATACAAAATAGCAAGGTTCCAACCAGCTGGTTGGTAAGGTCTCCTGCTGGTCGTAGTGGAGACTTGGGACTGAATCCCGCTTGCACCTGGGTTGGGGGATGGGCTACCCCCCATTGTGCAGCCCTTCAAATGAAATAAAAAATAAAAAACTAAAAAAATTGGGCATGCCTATGCTATTTTATATTAATCATGGGTCAAATGTGTCAACCTTTGATATCATAAATAATAAAAATCTAAAAACAGATTAAAACACAAATAAATGAAAAGATACATAAATTTTGCAAAAAACATTTGGGCACATCTCTAATATTGTATATTCATCATATCAAACAAAAATAATTGTGATAAATAAGAATTATTTTTATACATATAGAAATATGAAAAATTGTAGAAAAACTGAAAACATCTATATCTATCTATATCTATATCTATACTACAATTAAAAGTACGAATGAGTTTATGGAATTTTTTGACTAAAGTACCCCCCCTATTTTTAAGTTTAGTCCTCTCCGATTATGTGATCATAAAATGTAATTTGAACTACTAATTTTCATCTGTTTGAATTCTTTCTTACAAAGTCTTATTTTTAAGGAATAAATCCCATTCTATCTCATTAAATCTTATATTTAAGGTATTTTTCTCACCAATAAATTGTTTTGATTAGATCCTTATCCAATACTTTTGACAATATAATTACCCATGTTTTTTAAAACTGATAAAAAATGAAACTGTTCTTCTTGACCATAAGCATTCAACTATCCTGGTCAAATGGGTCAACCCATGATGTCATAATTGAATAATAAAAATAAAAAGATAAAACATAAAAAAATATGAAAAAAATACATATATATTTATATATATATATATAAATTCATCATATTAAACAAAAAATAAGCGTGGTAAATAATAATTATTTTCATACACGTAAGAATACAAAACTATTTTGGCATTATTAATATCATCATCTTCTAAAATTGTCATGTGCACATTTGCTAGTACATTAAAATTTACAAGACAACAAGAGCATCCCAAGATGACAGGACCCAATAAACCCATCCTTGCACACCCTGCCTAGCAAGAAAATCTGCTAATGAATTGGCTAACATTGATTAATAAATTTTTTGTTCATTTATCAAAAGAAAAAAAGGCTAACATTTAAACCCATTGACTGAGATGTTCACTTTTAGTGGCAAGCTTATCAAGAAAATAGAGGCAAGGTTACCAGTCACAAAAGCATAAACAAGCCAGCAAAGTGATGGTTTTGGTGAAGCTTCTGCACCTTTTTTGTTTTTTTTTTTTTGTTTCTCATCAATGAAATTTTACAGAAATAATTAGGGTAGGGAAAAGAACCAGTGATATTTGTGCATGTGGAACTCTAACTTCTCTTTTCTTTTTTGACTTTTACAAATTAAGCAGAAAGATGAAAAATGAAATTGCTAGTAGATAAGCCTCAAAGAAAACAAAAAAGAAAATGATATTAAGATAAGCATGGTGTTGCTCTTGATTTTGTGTGGATTTTAGTGCTAGTACTTTGGTATTTCTTGGACTATTATCTTGTTTTCTGTAGGCAATTGTACTTCGGGTTTCCTAAATGTTATTAATACTCACTATATATGCCTGTTTTCTTTTGTTAGGATCATTTCATGATGATTAGTCAGATCTTATTTGTTATGATAACACTGTACAATAATCTCTGCCTTTCATATGACAGTTGGGAAGCAAGCAGTTATGGATATCATGGAGATGATGGTCTACTTTACCGTGGACAAGGAAAAGGAGAAGCTTTTGGTCCTACCTTTACATCCGGTGATACAATTGGCGGTGGCATTAACTATGCCTCACAAGAGTTATTTTTCACGTACAATTGCTGCCTATTGTGTTAAACTGTAGTTGTTTCTTTGCTGTTATTATAATGGTGTGTCTAGTTTCTATAGATAATTATTTCATGTCAACTTGGTTGAGTTGTTAGATCTAATTTTGATGGTCCCTAATCAATCTCTAGTCTTTGGTAGCTGGATTTAATTTTCTCGTTCATAGCATTACTAGTTTTATTTTTCTGTTAATTCAAAATGATTCTTATGGATTCAAATGCTGCTAATGTTGATGCACAGCAAAAATGGAAAACTGGTCGGAACAGTGTATAAGGATGTGAAAGGTCCCTTGTTTCCTACTGTTGCTGTCCATAGCCAAAATGAAGAGTATGCCCCACCTTCTTTAGAATGTAACTATGTTCTTATTTTTCTTCTGTAATCATGATACACCTGTTATTAAGGAAATATTAGAAACAGTGGAGGCAGTTTTTTTTCCTGATCAGTAACATTGCAGTCATTATGTGATAAGAATTGGTTTATGTGAGTTTTCATTTGAAATGCTCCTTGAACATGATGAATTTGTACACCGTTGGATACTGATTTCAATGTCACAGATTTCTTTGCAATATTTTGAAATTCAAAGTCTCTGGTCCAGTACTTATATGTGTATATATGGTGCTAATTTGTCAGGGTAAATGTCAACTTTGGGCAGCAGCCATTTGTTTTTGATATTGAGGTAGGCGATAACTATCTTTCATTTTAGTCCTGATTCTCAGTTATAGCAACTTATTAGCCATCTTCTTTTATTTATTTTTATTGTTCTTAAGCATATTTTGTATACAGTGTTTAAAGCAGTCACTTAGAATCTTTTCAAGGCTGAACAAATACATATGGAGCTAGTGCACCTTCTTCTCTGTATGGAATAATTGTGCCATTTTTTTGTTCTGGATTCTAATACAAGCTACACTTATTTTGAGTTTTTTTTTTTTTTTTTTTTAATTTCTTCATTGGTAGTTCTACCTAAATTATTCAATCTTTGAATTTGGAGGTCTTCTGCACTTGAACGGTTATTTGATCTTAACCTCTTTCCTCCTTCTTACATGATTAATAAAAAATAGTTGATTTTTTTTCCCTTGGTTTCATTAGTATTTGTTTTCCAGTTACATCCAGTGTACATTCAAGAGAGACAAATTATGGATCAGATCCTCATTGCAATGAACATGTCCATGAAATGGTTAGATCTGGAAACAAAGGCTTTACATGCAAATTAGATTTGGAGAAGCCTTATGATAATATTGATCGGTCTTTCTAGGATTAGGTGCTTGGACTAGGTGTAGATCTTGGATTAGGGTCTGCCTTAGGACAAAAAACATTACTTCATCTTAATTAATTATTTGGCCAAAGACTTATTTCTTGCTATGTGAGGCCTTTAGCAAGGAGATCCAGTGTCATCCTTATTGTTCAATTTGGTGGTTGATGTGTTCAGTAGGCTCACCTTCAAAGATAAGGTGGATTTAATTAGGTGTTTTTGAGGGTGGTCTTAGATAAGAAGCCATTACTTGGTGTAATGGTAAAAGCTTGGGCTGACAAGTGTGACAACATAGGTTCAAATTTGTACTAAAAAATGCCAATTGTTAGGTCTGTATCAAGTCCACCCCTTGCAAAACCCTAGATAGATGGGACCAACATTGGGTATTGGTCTTTCAGAGCATGCTCAGAGAGAATGCCTATTTCCCACCTCCTACTTGCTGATGAGATTATTATCTTTAGCCAGAATTGGGGTGAACAAGGAATGCTAAATCTTGTAGCACCAATTCCGTGTTTTGAAAAGGTTTTAAATTCGAAAATCAATCTTGACAAACATGGCAGGGTTAAAATAAGGGAATGAGTCAATTTTATTGTTGGGATATACTATACCTTAGGTTGTTCAATCTCTTCTTGGCCAATGAATTATTTGGGACTTCCTTTAGAAGCAAACCCTAGATCTTTATACCTTTAGGGTCTTATTCTTGAGAGAGATGAAAAGATTAGCCTCTTGGAAATGAAAACATGTCTCTTTGGAGGAGGGTAACACTTGCTAACTCACACTCTCCAATTTTCCATGTATCTTTTCTTTTGTTTTTTAGTCTCAATATAGGTGATTAGTATCATTTGAATATAAACTTGAGAGGTTTCCTTTGGGAGTGGGTAATTTGCATAAAGTTCTTTTGATCCAATGGGAGATGATGTGAATGAATGAATAGGGAGAAGGTGGTCTTGGGCTGGGTAGATTAGCTTTAAGGTAGTGGTTTAAAAGGTGTGTCCAGGCACACCTAGGCCCAGGTGCAGCACCTTTCAAAGGGTGCTTACCTAGTGCGCCTTGCATCTTAGCGTAGGCATGTGCCTTGGTTAAAATTTGTGTTTTTTTACCTGTTTCTTTAAGCATGGTGGTTCTGCCCCTAGACCCCCCAAAAATGCACCTTGAGGCAAGCCCAAACATGTCCATGCTAGTCTTTTTACTGATGTTGTTCATTCGTCGTTATTAATACAAGACATTTTTTGAAATTAAAAACAATCTTTTATGTATGAATTAAGAATTCAAGACCCAAGCATAGACATGTTTGGGCTTACCTCAAGGGGCTCAGTACAAAGTGGCTTGTAGAATTAAGGTAACGCACTTAAAAGAAATAAAAAGATTGAAAGTATTTCATTAATATAAACAAGAATATACAGAGAATTACAACCGGGGTATGAGTACCCCTAAAAACAGATAGAACAACTAAGCCCAAGACAATCATTCCCTACCCATCCCTTGCTCACAGGAGCAGGTGAACACTTGCTCCTTAAAGCAGCTGAGACCAAAATAATTGTTCCCTTTCAACTCCTTGCCTTGCTAGAGAATCTTATATCCCATTAGTGGCCCTTGAAACCCACTGAAAAGTATTGTTACACCTCTCAGATGCCACACAGTGTTTTAAAAGGCATGGGAGGCGTATGCCTGAAGGTGCACCGCCAGCTGAGATGCTCCCAAAATGTCCTGAGGCGTATGCCAGAGGCGCTGGCACGTCTGAGGCGTACACCTTAGGTGCAAAAGGCGTACGCCTCATATGCTTTTTTCATGAGGCATGCTAGAGGCGTACGCCTCATGCACACCTCATATAAAAAGACAAAAAAAAAAGAAAGAAAAAAAGAAAAAAAAAGGAAAGGAAAGAAAAAGAAAGGGAAGGGAAAGAAAAAGAAAGGGAAGGGAAAGAAAAAGAAAGAAATAAAAGAAGAAAAGAGAACCTTCAACTAATGCTATGCGTTTTCATTCTTAATATAAAAGATTTTTATTAAAAATAAAAAAAATGAGATCCTCTTTCCTCTTCTTCCTCTCATCCCCCTCCTCTTACACCTCCTTGTTTTTGGGAGGCTTACGCCTCTTGTGTTCTGAACCACCTCACGCCTCTAGGTAGTGGAATGCCTCGTGTCATCCCTCCACGTTTTAAAACGTTGATGCCACTTTGAATATATTTTATATGTTATGTTTATGTATTTTTATATGAGCTAATAGACTTTTTAAAACATTTATTTTAAAATTTATGTATGTATCTTTTAATTAATAATATTTTAATATTTTTTGAATATTTTAACATTTTTCATTTTGAAAATTAAAAAAAAAATTGTGCCTCATTTCAAAAAGGCATGCACCTCAAGTGCAAAATGCCCTTTGTGCTTTTAAAACACTACTTAAAGGAGTACTTTCTTGATGGGTAAGTAGCTTCAAAGATTTCCTATTAACTCATACAATGTATGGCTCAATGTAATCACTAGTATTAGTGATGCTCATCCTAATGAAATGAGACATAAAATTGGCCTTGTTAACTATGGCCTTCCTTTGGAAAATTATTCATTCCATCCTTGACCTTTTCCATATTCATTAGATATGGACCAGAGAAGGGCAATTTGGTTAGATTGTGGGAGGATCTTTGGTTAGGAGAGTCATTATGGATGCACAAATTACCATGGCTTTACTCTCTTTATATGAGAACATCCCTATAGCCTACAAGTGTGTTGATGATTGCATCTTTGTAGTTACTTAACACCTCTTTGTAGTTGTACTCAGTTCCTTTTTTATTTTAATAAAATTTTTCTTTTACTATTAGAAAAAAAACCTGATGATTGGAGAATTAATAGTATGGTGCCTATTTTAAGAACAAAAGTGGCATACAAAGTTGTAATAACTATCGAGGGATTAAACTCATGAGCCACACTATGAAACTTTGGGAGAGAATAATTGAACAAAGATTACGACTTGAAACAAGTGTATTAGAGAACCATTTTGGATTTATGCTAGGGGGATTAGCCATGGAAGCTGTATTTCTTTTTAATCGATTGATAGGAAAGTTTAGGTAGAAGAAGAAAGATCTTTGTGTGGTGTTCATTGATCTAGAAAAGGCTTATGATAGAGTTCCTAGAGAGATAACATGGTGGGTCTTGGAATAGAAAGGGGTTCAAAATAGGTATATAAACCTAATTAAGGATATGTATGAGGGGGCAACAACTAATGTTAGAACACTAGTGGGAGAGACTTTGGGTTTTACAATTATGATGGGTCTTCATGAAGGTTCAGCACTTGGCTCTTATCTATTTGCATTGATCATATTTGAATTGACTAAACATATTCAGGAAGATGTTCCATGGTGCATGTTTGCGGATGACAATGTTTTTAATTGATGAAACTAATGAAGGATTAAATGCAAAATTAAGCTTATGGACAGGTGCCATAGAAACAAGAGGTTTTAAAATAAATAGGACTAAAACAGAGTATATGGCATGTAAATCTAATAATAATAGGAGTGGAAACCAGGATACACTTAGGATTGGAGACCAAGAGACAATTCATTTTGACCATTTTTTTTTACCTTGGTTCAATATATCATAACAAGGGAGAGATTGAAGAGGATGTCACCAAAGAATTAGAGCAGGTTGGGAAAAATGAAGGGGTGCATTTGAACTTTTGTGTGATAGGAGAATACCACTTAGATTAAAAGGAAAATTCTATAAAACAGTTGGAAGACCAGCTATGTTGTATCATGTATAGTGTAGAGTGTTGGGCAGTCATGAAACATGTTTAGAAAATGAGTGTGATAGAAATTTGAATGCTAAGATGGATGAGTGGAATAACTAGAAACGATAGTATTGGGAATGGAGCCATCCATAGAAACCTAGGAGTAGCTCCAATAAGTGATAAAATGAGAGAGAGTAGACTAAGATGGTCTTGTCATGTGCATAGAAGACCACCAAGAGCTCCAATTAGAAGAAGTGATTTGTTACAAGTGGAAGGGCCTAGAAGAGCTAGGGGTAGATCATAAAGGACATGGGTAGTAGTAGTAGTAAGAAATGATTCAAGCACTAACAATTTAAATAGTGGATATGGCTTTAAATAGAATGGATTGGCGGAATAAGATTTGTGTAGCTGACCCCATATGGTTGGGATAAGGCATGGATGATGATGATGACTCAAAAGAAAAAAGGTCCTCTCCTAGCTTATGTTGTTCTGTAGCACACATCCTTCTCAAGAGGTAAGGAATTAAGATCCCAAGTATTGTTGGATTGAAGAGCATGGAATTCTTCATCCATCGCATTCTTCTAGTTAGGAGATGAGAGGGCTTCTTGTATAGAACATGATAGGGGAACAAAGGATAAAAGGGAAATAAATCCTTGATGTGAAGGTGATAAAGTAGAGGAGACATACCGAGAAAGGCGGTAATCTATGCAAGCATGCTTACCCTTATGTTGAGCAATAGGAAGATCAAGATCTAGGGGTGATGGATCTGTCAACGACAAAGACTCTGGTGGTGGGTCAAACACTAGAACTAGATCAACTGCTGGTGATGATTCTGGATGTTGATCATGTCTGGTGTACACCCTTACCCTGTGAATCGATGGTCGAATAGTTTCCATCATAGGAAGGGAATAAACACATCAATGGAGTCAAATAATCCTTATAAAGAGAGTTAAAGAAGTTTCTTAATAGAGTAAAACAGTCACCTAGAGCTTAGTTTGAAAGATTTCAGGCTGCCCTTTTCACCTTTGGATACACATAGACTTAGTTTGACCTTTCTTATTGTTTATGCTGATGACATTGTGGTTACTAGTAATGATGTACAAGAAGTTCACAACCTCGAGAAGTTCTTCAACACTAAATTTGAAATTAAAGATTTGGGGGAGTTGAGATATTTTCTGGAATAGAAGTTGCTTGGTCTAAGGAAGATATATTTATTCCTTAGCAAAAGTATGCCCTTGATCTTCTTACCAAGACTAGAAATCATGGAGCTAAGCTTGCATCTACATCTATAGATTTTAATTACAAACTCTCGATCACCGATGGTGAATAATTGATTGATAGGGGAGTGTTTCAGAGACTGCTTGGGAAGTTATTGGATCTTTGCATGACTCAACTGGGTTTTTCCTATGCAATAAGTTTAATTAGTTGGTTCATGCATTCTTCTAGAGATACCTATATGACGACGGTTGCTGAGAGAATTTTGTATTACTTGAAGGGAACTCCATGGAAAGGTATTCCTTTTGCCAAACATGGATATGTGAAGCTAGAGGCGTATACAGATGTAGATAGGGCCAGCTGTATTCACCTTAAGTTATTATGCTATGGTGGCAAGGAACATTGTTTCATGGTGGAGTAAGAAGTAGTCTATGGTAGTAAGATCTTCTACTGAGGAAGAGTGTAGGGCAATGACTCATAGTGTCTGAGTTAATGTGGTTTAGATCTCTTCTAGAAGAATTGGGCATTGATTATGAGAAGTCGATGATGTTATACTATGATAACCAAGTGGCCATCAACATTGCTCATAATCCTGTTCAACATGATAAAACAAAGCATATTGAGGTGGATAGACATTTCATAGGGGAGAGAGCCACTTAAGGGGAAGTTTGTTTCCATTTATTGCTTCTTAAGAACAATTAGCTAATGTCTTGACCAAGGGAGTTCCAAAAGGGAAGCTACTACACTATACAAGCAAGCTAGGCATGATTCTATACTCAGCTTGAGGGGGAGTATAGGGAGACTGGGCCGAATGGGCCCCAGTCCATTTTTATTTCTTTTCTTCTTTTATTTGTTATGTTTATGATAATGGGCCTTGTCCATATGGGCATGTTAACTGCTTTTTACTCTTTTTATGTTATGTTTGTGAGCTGGCTGTCCCATTAAGGGCATCTTTGTATTTGTGTCCATTGAGATTAGATTAATAAAAGTGATTAGGAGAAAGGCGATAGATTAGATCAAACTCTATTCTCCTTCTCCCTTCTTCTTTCACCATCTTCTTCCTCTTCTGGTTTCTGCTATCTCTTCCTCTTTTCTTCTACTTTCACATTGAAATCCTTATTTTTCTTTTGGGTTGATTTTCATCTTTAAGGAACTTTCTAGCACCTAAACTTTGATGCAGGATGATAATGCAGGAATTAGAAGGGTGGGCTGGGTTCCGTTTCTTACAGAAGTTGGAGTTTCTTAAGCGGAAGTTAAAAATTTGGGGAAAAGAGGAATTTAAAGCTTTCACCGAGGAAAAAAGCAAACTGATTAACGAATTGGATGAGCTAGATGGGAAGGAGCAAAATGGGACTTTGGACGACGAAGCTAGAAGAAAAAGAGTGGCAAGTTCAAAAAGATTGGGAGAAGGTAGTTAGGAGGGAAGAAGTGTACTGGAGGTAAAGATCTAGAATAAGATGGCTGAAGGAGGGAGGCTAATAGATTTTCTGTGGCAATGGCAAGGGAGAGGGCTATGTCAAAGGGGTAAACTCTACTAGAACATGGTGGCCCAAGCAATTGTTTGGGGTGTTTGGGAAGAATGAAACAATCACATTTTTAACAACAAAGCTAGAACCTTGGAAGACCTAAGCTCTCATATCTCTCACTTATGCAATTTGTGGGTGCTGAATTCAGAGATGTACAAAGACTTCTCTCTAAACATGCTTCATCCGAACCTGGTGGAGCTGCTGTTCTCTTCACCTAGTGCTATAAGAGATACTAATCTTCCCCAATCAAGGGAAGAGGAGGAGGTGACCTTGTACTTTGATGGAAGCGCTCTAGGGAACCTGGGTCTAGCTGGTTGTGGTTGTGTGTTTATGAAGAGGGATGGTAGTCCTTTGTGGTTCTTTAGTGGACCATTAGGGACAGCAGACTCTACAACGGCTGAAGTCGTAGCAGTGTTAAATGGCCTCCGTATCACAAGAAGACTAGGCCTGACCAACCTGGTGGTCAGAGGTGATTCTAGCAACACAATAAAGTGACTTGGGGAGATGGAAGGAGGACCTTGGAGACTGGCTCACTACCTAGATGAGGCTAGAGGTCTGTTATACTCCTTGAATGCATCTTTAATCTGGATTCCCAGGAATTTAAACTCTGTAGCAGATAAATTAGCCAAGTCTGGTGCTCACAGGGAAAACTTATATAGTAATAGTATAATGCCTTTGTAACCTGTGTGTGACTAGCCTTTGTACATCATCTCATGTACTCTCTTTTCTCTCTTTTATAAAGTTACTCTTTTTCTTGAAAAATAATGCAGGAATTAGTACCTAGATTTTCCTAGAAATCAGGACCTAATAGCTTCTTGAGGGAATCAGCAGTCTGAAGAAGAAAATTAATCCAAAGGCAAAATTGTATTTCACATTTTTTACTTTTTTTTGTGGTAAAAATTTTGTTCTTTTATAGATTTATTTTAAATTTCTTCAACTTTAAAGTTGGGCTGACTTCAAAACTGACCATAAGTTCTATTGGAATGATATAGGTGTTGCATAAATAATGCTTTTATGAGGAATGCAAGAGAGTAGTAATGGAGAAAAAAAAGTTCTTATGGGGGAGTAGGTTTATTGTGGATGTTTTTAGTATAGCAAGTCTCTTCCTGGAGTTTGAGAGGTTTGAAAGCCATAGATGTAAAGTTATGATGATGTCGAGAATGGGATGAGAAGTAGCTGTTGCAGGAATCCATATAAGAAGTTTCCTGTTGGTTGTTGTCTGCTGGAGGGTGGTTATGGGTGTTGAGCTATGAGATTTCAGGTTGCCAAATTTCTTAGCAATGGTCCTCTTTTCTGGTCCAACTTTAGCAATTGGAGTATTTTTTTCGGCTTCTGGGATTGGTTATGGTGGGGTTTATTGTTGTCAGAAATGATTGATGGTTTTTGTCTCTTCTTTTTTTTTTGTGGGTGATTCCTTGTAACCTTTTGATGCTCTTTTTCACTTAATGAATTTCCTTTTGTTATCAAAGAAATGTAAATCCCTAAACTACAAGAACTCTAACTCAAAAACCAACTGGTTGGTGGCCAAGTTGGTACATTCGTTGCTTTGCTGCAGCTGAGACCTGGGAATCTATTCCTGTTGCCACCAGGTTGGGTGGGGTTGGGGGATGGGCTACCTCCGTTGTGTTGTTCACCATAAAAAAATAATTCTAACTCAAAACAAAAAAAAGTAGTTTTTTTCTTCAAAAAAAAAAAAACTACTAGAACTCTGGATTTGAAAAACTCAGGTTGCATTGGAAGTTATCTTTTTTGTGTGGACTGTGGCTTGTGGGTAAGGAAAGAATATGTCTTCTCTCTGTGGTTCAGCATCTGAGGGGATTATTAGCAGGGTGGAGTGGAACCTGCGGAGGTGGGCTGGTAAATTCAAGGTTGTTTATGGGAGTTCCTGCTAGCTATTTCTCAGACCATTGGTGCCATTTTATTTTGAACTTATGTACATAAGATGAATGTAATGTGATGTGCATAAATACAAGCACACTTTTTGTATATGCTTGAGGGCTTCTTTCCCGCTCTTACATTTTATACTTAATACAATTACTTTTTTTTCCATCTTCCAAAAACAAAAAAAAAACCTTGGGCTCAAGGAAAACAGAAGGATACTGCTATGATTGTCTTTAAATCAGCCCAACCTGCTCAATTCATGTCCAAATTGCATGATTTTGGGCTTGTCTGATAGATAATAAAATAAGCTTTCTAATTGAGACTAAAAAGTTAGGCATAGAGATAGGTTTCAGCACTCCAAATTTTGGCTGCAAGTATATTGACTGACTGTATATGTTTCCTCTCTGGTTTCAATTTCAAGCATTTGTAATTCATTTTCAATTTTGGTTTTAAGTTCATTTGCTTATGGGGATAAGGCTTGGATGGTGATGATGATTTTAAGGTCACATTTGCTTCTCATGTCACCCTGTCTTAGGATAAGAGAACAAAATGAGCTACCATAGATGAAATAATATAATTAACCACATGCCTAATTACCACTTGTTTTGAAATGATAGTTTGGCCATTTTATCTATTTGCTTTTTTCAGCATTTTTCCATCTATAAACTTCTTTCTTTACATGTAAATTTCTTCTTGGTGTCTCCTGATTAGGCTTTTGCTCTGGAGGAAAGACTGAAGCAACAGATGATGATTGAAAAGATATCGTTGCCCCTCCATGTCAGTCATTGGTATGCTAATTGTAGAGTGCAACTTCAGTTGGATAAGACTTTCTCTGCTATTCTGGTGTAGTGGTGTTCAGTTAAAGTAGTCCACATTTAATAATAAAAACTTGGGAGTCACTTCCATTGGATTTTATCTTTTTTAGTTGTAAATTTATAATTGTAATCCTTCTATCTGATTCTTAATATACCTTAAGAACTATCTATTAATGTAATCTCTTCCCTCTGACTAGTAGGGTGTCCGTATAATGCAACCAAGGGGGATATACCAATCATTCTTTTTTTTTTTTTGTAGTTCTTTACATGGATCAATGTTTTTTAAACACCTTTTCAAAAGAGAAACTAAGAATTTAATACATATTACGTGTATGTAGGATGGATAAATTGGGTTTAAATTATAAACATCAAGGGTAATGTCACTCATTTAAATATCCTCGAAGTCACTAAGCAGTTAGCTTAAGTTTACTGTTGGTTTGGTTTACTCCTTAGATGCAAGGGTGACCATATCTGATTTGCTTATATCTTTTTGAAATGGAGTGCCATAAGAAAAGTGTTGCATCTTTGGGTAGCATTGTTCCACTGTATATAATCTGGTATAAATCAGGAGTGTAATCATTCATTTCAAGAAGGGCTGTTACCCAATATTTTTTTTTTTGATAAATGGCTGTTACCCAATATTGGTCCTTGTCATCCGGGTTTTGGGAGGGTGGAATGAACATGTGCCTAACCTTTGGCATTTTTTTTACAAAGTGTTTTCTCTCATACCAGAACCTCCCTTCTCACATTTGTCAGCCTGAGATTTTACCATTGCACCAAGCAATGACCCCTTGTATAACCAATTGTTGGCAGATCCTTTAATTGGTTTCCACCATTATTTTTGCAAATACTTTAGGCTGTTTATTAATCATATTGATTGAGGATCCATTTTCATAAGAATTAAGCAAAAGTTTTAATGCTATCTGTCAATCTGACAGAAATTATGTTGGTTTCAAGGAAATTGTGTCATGCATGTTAAAATCTATTCTGCCTCAATCCACTATTTCAAATGACTATCTCTATGGGTTTGAAAATCTGCTAAGACAATGGCAAACATGGCTTAAGATCCTTGAATTGTCAGGTTTTGCAAGCACTACTTACGGAATAAAACTGTACTTCTTGGAGACCTATTGTATCTGGGGGGCAAAGTTTTTTGTGTTTCTGTTATCTGAACAGTCTTTGGATGCCATAAATTTTGTGTAGTTGAATAAATACTCAAGAGTATTCTGCTTTCTTTTGCAAGGCCTAAAGCTGTTCTGTTATTCAGAATTTAATTGTTTTCTGATTGAAGATGTTTGCCAAGTACTGATAAATTGAACCTTAATGGTCTCTCAGGTTTGTTTTTTGGAGAGGCAAAAACTTTTGCTTCCCTCTTGAAACAGCTTATTCAGGTCATTCCTGGATCTGTTAATGCCTTAACCAACTTTTTGGCTAGAGGAGGGTTGGGCATGCTAATTAAGTGTAGTTAAGGTGGTAGGAGAGTAGGTGATTGCGTTATTTTGTGCTGGTAAAGTATCAACAAGAAGGCATCATCTAGGCAACAGAAATGAATGGCTAGTTGTGTGTGTGTGTGTCTGTGTGCCACTAGGATGGTTGCATCTATACTGCCTATCTGGTTGGTTGCTTAGGCGATTCCACGATTGGCCTCCAAAATACCTGGTCAATGCCTATGTGATGCTTAAACTAGATTGTAATAAACATTTTCTGTGTGCGTGTGTGTGTGGGGGGTGGGGGGTTGCTCCAGGCAGCAGAGGCAGACCAACAAGCCTGACTATTTATTTTGTATGTCTTAATTTTCTGTTTTTCTGTTTACTCATCTTTAAGCTGTTTTGTACTTCAGTTTCATTAGCTCCCCTGAGATTAGGTTTCCTTGTAGCGGGATGATATTAATCATTTTCATCATATGCATTTCTGATTGTTTTTGATAAGAAAAAAGATAGAAGTCAATTACAATTGCACATTGGCCTTCTTTCATTTCATTGTATCACCAAAATGAATGTAAAAATCATAGCTTATTGCAAAGCTAAGATGCCATTTACCATCATCAATATATTGGGAAGCTCCTGTCACCACAAGTAGTTCGAAACCTTCTCCTTACTGAATTTAGAGGCAGAAACAGAATTAACATCCTTCACTTACTTGACAGGGTTTTTATCTCAATTTCATAAAATCAAGGCAGGAATGGAATTCATTTCAAAATTTTCCAATTATCCAAACTCAACTTAAATAAACCCGAAATTGTGTAAGTGAAGATGTGGGTCCATGATCCCTTAGACATGATGCCAGAGAAGCTAAATCATTGGCATTAAGAGTGTACAACTCATTCAGAGGGAAAAATCAGCTAATTTACCAGCATGTAGTAGAAGTGAATTGTATTAGGGCTTAACCCTCCTCGGCTAGGCAGTCTTTTGCTTACCTGTCATAGTTGTACTAGATGTTGGACATGTAGAATTTCTCTTGAGGCTCTGTTTCCTTCATGTTTGGAGGGCTTGGCCATTATTTTTTCTCAACTAGTTGGCTGACTAACTTTTTTCCCATTTTTCTGGTTGTCAGGATTGTTCGCTCCTACTTGCTACATTATGGGTACCAAGATACACTTAATTCATTTGATATGGCAAGCAAAAGTACACTTCCTCCTATTCCTGTAGCTCAGGAAAATGGCTTTAATGAGCAAGGGGAGATGTATGCACTAGGCCACAGAAGAATTTTGCGTCAGGTAGGAAAATTGGTATTATTGGTTTGCAGTTAACTGAATAGTTCTGTTTCACTATGAATGCATCTTGGTTGAGAGTAACAGATAACAGAGGGCATCACTCTGATAGAGTGAAATGACAAGTATTGTAGAAATGCACTTCTCTTTTTCTTTACTGACCTTTTGTATGAGATTTTAAGTCTGAAAGATTCTTTAAGCATGTTTGTTATAATCTTCCCTCTTTTCTTCTTTCATCTTTGATGAATAACAGTAAAACCTTTTTTTTTTTTTTGATTTCTTTTGAAGAGCTACACAACGGGGGGTAGCCCATCCCCCAACCCAGGTGCAGGCGGGATTCGATCCCAAGTTTCTGCTACGACCAGCAGGAGGCCTTACCAACCAGCTGGTAGGCACCTTGCAATAACAGTAAAATTTATTGGAGTAGTAAAAAAGAATCAGTTTATACAAAGATGTCAGGCATCCCTGGAATAGGAGATAGATACCCAGGTGCAGGTGGGATTCGATCCCAAGTTTCCACTACGACCAGCAGGAGGCCTTACCAACCAGCTGGTAGGCACCTTGCATTAACAGTAAAATTTATTAGTGTAGGAAAAAAGAATCAGTTTATACAAAGATGTCAGGCATCCCTGGAACGGGAGATAGATACCCTAAAAGAGCTGTAACCTATCTAGCCTCTGTTTTGCCCATGCATTTGCCAGTCCACTGGGCATTGGCTGATCTATAAACCCATTGTACATCAATCACCACTTCATTAGCACTTTATCTCCTTTATGATATTCTTGTATGACCATGGAGTCATCTTAATTCTTCACCCATTGCACTACTACCTTGGGATCCCCTTCTATTATCAGATTTCTTAATTTACAAGCTTTAGTCACCCATAACCCATTATCCTTGCGATACAGTCGTTACCTCTGCTGGTATGTTGATACTTTGGTACCTTGGCCAGTAGGTTCTCAAAACATTGCCAAGGTATTGTCATAGTTGTCCCTAAATGCTCCTTTTATGCTAGAAAGTCATGGATTTCCTCTACAACAAATTCCATGCCAACAAGCCTTGGTATGACCTCCCCAAAGGATATACAGGGCTTTTCCATGTTTTTTTAGAACCTATCAATGATTGGATCTCAAATGCAATGGATTTGGGGTTTCTTCCCAGTGGCAGCCATAAATACCCCATTGACATTGTAGTCTTCTCATTTTAAACAAGGCCTGCTTGTGTTATCATCATAAAATATATTTTTCTGAAGTGGTTTCCAAAGAGATGCTTTTGTTTCTTGTTGGTCATGTTTTCTATTGCTTGTTTGGGAAAGGTGTTGCAAGTGGATTTTGGGGTGTTTGCAGTCATGTTGTTATTTCATCCTAGTCAATGGGGAGGTTAGAGATTTCTTCTTGCATCAAGGGAAGTGAAACAAGGAGCCCTGTTATCCCCTTTTCTTTTCACCCTCATAGCTGATGGCTCTAGCAAAATAATTTTGAGAGCGAAAAGACTGCAACTAATTAAGGGATAGAGGGTAGGTAGAGATAGTTAGGTGATTACAAACCTCCATTATGCAGATGATATTATTCTTTGTGATGGGAGATTGGGGGGTGATGCAGGATGGGGTAGGGGTCCTACTAATTTTAGATATGGTGGTGGGATTTATAAGGTGAAAGGAAGGCTACAGATGATTAGGAATGAAGAATGGGGATAGAAATGCAAGTAGTAGGCCTGCACACTGGTCAGTTCGGTTCAGTTTTATCCATTTTTGTCAACTGCATCGATCGTGTTGGATTGATTTAAAACCAACTAAAACCGACCGAAATTAATTTAAAACTGAACTGAAATTAGATATTACTGAGGTCGATTTAGTTGGTTTGAACTCAACTGAATCAACATTATCCTTTGTGGGGTCCAAGTTAAAAAAGAATATTTTGATATGCACGAATTGTTTTCGATTTCCATTTATATGTTTCCTTATTTTCTGACACGTTCTATTTGGTGATGTTTGTTTGGGTGGATTTTATAGATAGTTATATCCACATGTGTGCCATGTGTCAAGTTGAGGTGCATAAATTTGATGACACGATTTACTGTCAAACTGGGGTGGATTTTATAGATGGTTAGGCAGCTATATCCCACAATTTCATAAAACATGACAAGTGAAATGACTAGCAAGGGGCCCATGCACATAGGTGGTCTCCCACATACTATGCTCTTATATGTGGTTCACTCCATCCAAACACGTGGAACATGGGTCCCATTGGATAAACTAAGGTGAATCTAGATTGTATTAGTGACCTAAAAATCCCTTTGATGACCAGAATTTTATGCTGTGGTGTACATGCGTGTGTGTATATATTATCAGGTCAGGTTGGTGTTAAGTCAGGTCATGAAAACATAAACTGTAACCAAACCGAATGGTCGGTTTCTACTGTTATCAAAATGGAAACTGACTGAGCTTTTATAAAACCAGCCATCTAGGATTGGATTGGTCTGGTTTGGTTGGTTTACTCGGTTTATAATATTTTGTGAACCTAGAAAGTAGATAGCGTTCTTTCTACCAAACAATGATCAATAGATTAGATAGAAAGAGGAGAACTCATGCTGTTAAGGTAAATAGGAAAGAGACAGATCAATCATAAGTCATAAAAAGAAATAGGTGAGAGAGAGAGAGAGAGGAAAAAAGAAAAAAAATTCCTGGTAACAACCAGAATTCAGTATACCAATGTTTATTCATCAAATTAACTCTTCTTAAATTGCAATACAATGATTATTTATAGACTCAAGTTAGTGGATCCGTGTCAAATAAGAGATTTGGTTTTTAATGTATAAGGTTCTAAAATAATAGAGCCTTATTCTTAATGCACCTTGAACTAGAAAATAATAACCGAAACAGTTAATATTCTAGGTAGGGGGTCAACATGTTAATAAGAGCTGCTTGGTAGGAATCAATATGCTAAGAATTCTAGTTAGGGGGTCAGCATTGATTTGTTTACCCAAGAATTCTTTCCTTGCTTCCACATTTACATCTAGATAGGGGGTCGACATGTTAAGAATTTGAGGTTAGTGATGAAATTGTTCAAGGTGATATGAAACCTAAAAAAGAATCTTGATAAGAGCTGCTTGGTAGGAATCAATATGAGGACCGATGAATTTGCCTCTTGTCGTGGGCCAATGAAATTCTTTGTCCTCCCTTTAGGTGCCAATCTTAAGGAAAGTAGGCTCTAGAACCCTGGTCTTAATAGATTCTTGAAGAAGCTAGCTTTATAGAAAAGGAAATACATCTTTTTTTGGGTGGTCAAATTACTCTCACAAATCCAAACATGGCTAATCTCTTTATATATACTTGTATTTTTTTTAAGATTCGACAATTAATAGCCAAGAAAATGGAGAAAATAATGAGAGGTTTCTTATGGGAACTCTAAAGATGAAAACAGGATCATTTGGTGAAGTGGAAATTGTTAAGTGGGAGGAGAGAATAAGGAGGGTTAGGCTTAGGTAACTTGGGGAATAAGAGTATGGCTTTGCTGGGCATGTGGTTGTGGAGATTGCCTCTTGAGAGGGGCCTTTTGTGGCATAAAATAGTGTTGAGCATTGATGGATGGATAATGGTTGGGATGCTAGCTTATCTTCAAGGGACACTTTGGCTTCTCCTTTGAAGGAAATCCATGGCATTATTCCACTTTTCTTAAACCTTCTCTGATATGATGTTTGTTCACTTTACAAGGCTCTTTTTTGGGAAGACTCATGAGTGATTTCCATCTTTGTATTTTTTTGGATAGATAACAGAAACTTTTATTAATAAAAATATTAAAAAGGAGGATACAACGGGAGAGAGGGGTAAAATCTCTTAACCCTCCCTAAAAGTTTACTTCATATTACAGAGCTGCCCAGAAAAGAAAAGCTCTTCCCACCCCTTGCTTAGCCAAAGAATCTTCCCGGGAATTGGCACACCTTTTAGTCCACTGAAACTGAACTTCCATATTTTGAGTCAAATGTTTAATTTTCTTTTTCTCATTTAAGTATTTCCACAAACTGAAGTCTTCCTTCTGCAGCCACCTAATAACCAGGCTTAAGTCACCTTCCACCACCAGTTTTCTGATATTCAGCTGCCGTGCTCTTTTTAAGTTTTAATTCCTCCCAACATTGCCAGTATTTCAGCCCTCAGAAAATCCCCCCAACCAATAGGCCCGGAATACATTGCAATAATATGGCCTTTTTCATCCCTGAAAGCTCCACCTAAACCTGAAGGACCTGGGTTTCTTTCACTGCTTCCATCAAAGTTCAACTTAGTGTAACCCAAAGGTGGAGGAACCCAAACTGGAGAAGGGGTAGATTTCAAAGGAGCTAACCAAGCCATTTCTTTCCAGTTCTTAATGATATCTCTTGCTGTGTAATCTTCAAAAAACTTCAAGGTCTTAACCCAATGAGCCACCCTAATGGAAATTACTTCAATGATAGCTTCCTTATTTCTTTCTTTTTCAAGGAATATTCTTTGATTTCTTTTCTCCCACACTGTCCAACATAATGCTTCTCTTACACATCTCCACAGAAATTTACCTCTCTTTTTTAACCCTCTCACTAGTGTAGTGTTAAATAAGCTCTGCACACTTGGAGGAGAGGACCACCTACAACCAAAGAGAGAACAAAACCAGCACCAGATTTCTGATACAAAGGGACAGGAAACCATTAAGAGATAGCAGCTCTCACCATTCTCCTTACATAGGATGCACCAGTGCGGGGACAAACACCAATTTGGCCTTTTCCTTTGAAGTAAGTTGCAAGTGTTACACTTTTCTAAGAAAGCTTCCCAGCAGAAGCACCCACTCTGGAAGGAATTGGTTTACCCCAAATTTCCAAGACTGGGAAAGGGTGTCCTAAAGCTGGTTGGGATTGGGTTAACTCTTTGAAAAAGGAAGAGCAAGTAAAGACACCGAGGGGGAAGGAACCCAAATCCTATTATCCCTACTAGAGGGATCAATAACCACCTCATCTAGGATCTTAAGCAAATCTGAAATGGT